AAAGAAGGTAGCATGGACGCAACTATTTCTACACAGAATAGCTGTACCCTCAACACTGAGTCACAACACATCCTGTTCCCAGTCAGTCCAAGTTATCCCATCCAGGCTCTCTCCCTGCTGGCAGCCCCTTTGTCTATCTCTAGGATCCTTGCCTAGTATGTCCTGTTTTCTGGCAACACATTAGCTCTTCTCTAATCTCCCTGTGCTCATCTCCAGTATTGGAAATCCCATTTCATAGTTTCCCAGTCCAGTACTCCTATATTAATTCTCTTACACTCCTCAGTCTCTACTCCTTGTGTCATAACTTTCCTGTCTACCTTCTCTCAAACGCTGCCAGCCAGCTCGTAGAGGTGTACTTGTCTTCCTTATTCCCAGTCAGATCCTCCCTCTCTCCTCACTTAAGGATTACTTAGCTGTTTGTCCCAGTCTACTCCTGTCTGCCTCATCTTTTGTCTTCTTCACATTCATCTCAGATTACTCCCTTCCCCATGTTATTAGAAAGAATAAATACCTTCCAAGAGACAGGAAAGCTTCAGCCCATCCCAAGCATCTGGAAAAAGCTATTTCTGGCAATGCCATTTCAGTCACCCATACTATAGGTCAAAGCACTGATAGTCACTCAGCTTGTAGGCAGTGCTGTCATCACCAAGGGATGCAAAAGATTCAGACAGCTCTACACACACAGAAATTCTCCACTTTGGCTACTTTGCCCCAGCAATTTCTGTTAAACACATATGTTAGAAGAATTTATGATTAGGTGAGTTTTCACACCCATTATTGTAAGAAAAATCCCCTTTCCAAGTTTTACTTCTGTTTCAAGGCACAAGGGGCTTAGAATACTTCAGATTCAATGGTTGCTAGATTTTAAAATGAAATGTTGGCATGCAACATTTTAGCACGAAATTGCTGTATTTTGACAAACTCAAAACACACTCACACAGCTAAATATTTGGCAATCCTAGCAGCAAACAGTCCTGCTATACATGTGTGTGCATGGCAGAAAACAGCTTCTGCAACACTGCCATTCAAAATACACAGGAAACATCATTTTTCCCACCAGCCTTTCAAACAGGAACACCAACTACAACTGCTAAAGTTACAGGTCAATGTTGCTTCCAGTCTTTAAGCACTTAAAAAAGAGCAAGCTGCCCCTTAACGCGGCACAGGCACACCAGCCAACCTCAGAGCAAGAAGTTTAAAAAGACCCCACTGCTAATATATTTTGGCACGGGAAGGAGAGTCTGCACTCCAGAACATGTGGAGGGGAGAAATTGCCTGATGCAGTTTCATACAGCGAAGCCCAAATATCCACCACTGGTGAAACATCAGAATGATAATCAACGAGATTTCAAACAAGTCTAAACAGAGTTCCAGCTACTGCAAGGAGCTATGTAGATATGTATCAGCTGCTTGGAAAGAAGTGACTATCCCTGTATTTTGACTACCTTACAAAAAAGAAGTTTAAGGACAAAGAACTCTCTGTTCCCAACTACAGAAACCTCAGGTATCAATATGAACTTCATACTGATGAAAGGTTTTAGAATATTTGTCTCATTTTAACTACCTAATTATAGTATGTTTATTTCTTTATTTGAAAGTTGAAAAAAATACACACAAAAAGTGACTTCTGAAGAGTGGGTGAAGTCCTAGGTGACATTTTGTAGAATTCAAGTTATTTTCCATCTATCTTGAGAAAGCTGGAAACATATTTTCAACTTTTTAGATGAAAGCTTTCATGCTTGTTCCCCAAACATGTTTAACTTCCTTAAGATCTATATGACATATTCAGTTTAGAGTTTGCATTTTTTTTTGGTGCACTAAGATTATTTGCTGAAAGAACCTAAAAACTAAAAATATCTGCAGAAATTAAATAGACCTAGAAGTTTATTGCTGAGTTAAAGAAAGAACCCAACATCTTAGTGTCTTGATAACATCCCTTCTTACAAGCCTAATAACTATATTTAATCTTAAATAATATGCTAATTATTCTGCAAGATAATTAAAATTCTCTGATTTCACCATCTTCAGGACAGACTTTACTAACTATCTCTTTTTACTGAATTATTATAATGTATTTTCTTGATTAATTCAATTAGTAGATTCTTCTTTATTTGTGGCATTTTCTTTACCTAATATATCAACTATTGCTTGGGAAAAAAAAATCCCAAACCTCGTCACTGCTTGTGGTAGAGGAGAACCATGACTAATAGGAAAAGGGATCAAAGCCTCAAACCTGTCTTACAACACATTGTATTGCAGAAGGAGGTGCTATTATGAGGTAACAACAGTTCTCATGAACTACCCTTAACCTTGGCAGCAACAGACTATCACAGGTTCCTCAGTAGAGACCACAGACACCAACAAACAACAGACCCTGAGCAACTGAGAAACAGAACAACAGTTAATAATTATTTACCCCTACAATTTTTGAGGTAATAGTATCCAGCAACCTAATTCACAGATACAGAAAATCAAGAATTTTGCCTTCTTTCACCATCCCCACACAAGGCTTACACAGTGCTGAGGTTCAAGTTCTAGTGAAAAACCAACTGTGAGCCAAATGCAAGTACTTCCCCCTCACTGATGTCTGCCTCTCAGTTTTACTGCCATGACCTGTCCAAGAATTCTAACAGGCCATTAAAAGTTGTATGGTAAGAAATCACCAATTTCAGATCCTCCTGCTTTTGAGAAGGGAGGCTATATTGAAACATCTCCCTGTGACAGAGGTAATTAAAAAAATAATTAAGGTAAAGTGGATTAAATCTGTGTATGTACATACATAAACACAGAGGCAGAGAGAACAGGAGATACCTCTGATTTCATTATGTGATATGCAAATGCCAATGCACAGTTGCTTTTTTTTTGGACATAGAACAGATTCTATGAATTCTATTAGAATGCATACAAATGCACCAAGTGATTTTCCTCAGTTGTCTACTCAATGGGGACAAAGACAGTATTATTCACAGGTAACAAGAGGGATGATATAAAAGCTGGGCAGCAAGGATGTGCTTCATTAAGGGAAGAACTAAAGAATTCATTAAGGTGCACTGTGAGGCACAGCAGCCTTGTAAGTATTCTCTGATGTGCCAATAAAGTCATAACAAATACCCAGTAAACTAGTTAAGTAGTTTTCCCTCACACTAATTTTGGTTTCAGTGTCATTCAAGCTGTGGTCATTTACAATTTCAAAAACATGCTTGATCCCTTCTACAAATCACACAACGAGCCTGATATCCAAACACTCTTCTGGGGGCGTCTCAACATTTTCCAACAAACTCAGAACAGCATTCTAGCAAGAACACTGGAAACCAAAGCATGGCTTACCTTAACACAACATAGTTATTTACTTTGGTAGTGTGACAGGCAGCCATGCTTCTAGGAAGTTTCCATACCATTATATATCATTTATTTTTCAGGTAATTTTTAAAATACTTCTTTAAGAAGATGCTACATAACTGGCGCGCCCCACATTTAAACTCATATCGTCAAAGTAATCTACCAAATCATTTCCTCCACCAGCAGCATGAAGACAGAGTGCATTGTGACACCTCATACATGTTTAATAACAGCCTGATAGGCTGTCATTAACATCAAACAGCAATCTAAGTTTGCTACATTAAACATGATCCCTGTGTTAAGAGGACAACCAGAAAGTGCCTCCAAGATCGATCCTGTAAGAAATACCCACCGACTTGGACAAGGTATAATGAGGCCAACTGCACTGAAAAAGCCACACACCAGATCTAAAATTAAATAATAAAAAAAAAAGCAAGGGAAAAAGAAAAAGCTTCAATGGGTCATAAGACCAGACATGCCATAAGGCAATCTGTCACAGAGTACTCATATTAATAACTGTTGTGTCAAAACTGAACATTCAAAAGAAAAGACAAACCTTCCTTTATGTTTTATGAAATGTAAGCCCACAGAATTAATAATTTATGAGATGAAGAAAAATATCACATTTGGCTATAAATATTAACAGACGCTGTCAACCTGCTTAGAACTAAATTTTGACTGTCCTACCTTACAATTATCAACTTAGAAAGGAATACGCTTCAAAAGCTCAAAAAAAAAAAAAAGTAAAAAAAATCGGTATGAAAGTCATTAATGAAGAAATTAACATTCTCTATTCACATAGCAAAACAGCATAACTTTGTTCTGTGCCCAGCTGCTGCTGAGCCAACACTCACTGACTGGGATTGTTTGTGTCCAGAGTGGTGGTGTGCTCTGCTGACAGCAATAACATGGTGTGTGCACACAAGAAAGTACCCCAAAAGGACATGCTAAACCCAAGATCCAGTGGAAAAAGGGAAAGAAAAGAAGGGAAGTAGTTGTCAGACAACAAAGAAAGATTTAAAAAGGCCGTTAAAAGTTAGTATAAGTTTGAGAATAAAAAGTTTATACAATGGGTCTTGAATAAATGTTTCTCATTAGCTAAAAACAGGCATTTAAGAACTACAAAAAAGCACAATTAACCAATAATGCACAACCACATATCAGTAAGCTCAGTGCATACAATGTCAAACAAATACCAAATATATTTTCAGAGTGGTTAGCAGTTCAAGTTCAAGATCCAGAAGATACTTCTGCTATATGACACCAGTTATTCTCCACTTTCATACTATTACAGAGAATAGAATATTGGAACACAAAACAACTGTACCAAAAAATCAGGAATGCCATTAAAACGTATTGTTCTAAATGGTGGCGACAGTGCTTTTCTTTACCGGTTTTTTTTTCTTCTCCCCAGTACTAATATAACTTCAGCCTACTTACGTCCCCATCTGCACTCACATTCTAGGCAACAGTGTTAAAAATACTTACATAAGCATCAATATTGGGCATGTATTAAAAAAAAACCAAGTCAGTCTAAACACTCATTTTTCTACACAGTTCCCAACATTTTCACTGCATTTCACCCACTGATGAGCACGCAGAATGAGAAGCCCAAGTTGAACATTACAAGCTCTTATTTTTAAAAAAATGTTAATCCCCACCTTTATCATTCTAGAGAGATCTCCAGCATCTGCTAATTCCAACACTATGTTCAGTTCATTGTCTTCAATGAATGAGGCATAATATTTAATTACATTTGGATGATTCAGTTGCTAAGAAAGCAAAAGAATAATTCACATTTTAGCGTAGAGTACACTGTATTTATTAAGACTGACAAAAACATTCTTATTTAGGCAAACAAAACAACCCCTAAAATCTATTTCACTATGATACGAATTACAAAAAGTATATGTTTACAAGAAGCATTTACAAATACTTTACAAGAACATGATGGCATTTTAGGATCAACATGATGACTGACATCACAATTTTAAAGGAATTTTGCTTCCATGTATATATCCAATAGCATGCTAAACTGTTATCTGAAACAGCAAAGTCAATTTTTAAAATCAGAATTTTACTGTACATAGGACACAGTTGTTCACAATATTGCAGTTTTGGCAGAAATTTCTACTTAAAAGCATTATTCATTTTTTCTATTACTACTCAATGTTAATTTTTAAAATAATAAAGATCACAAAACTGTTTGAGTGAGGCTTAAAGAAACAGTATGCAAACAACAGTGGACACTTTAAGTATGCCTATGAAAATCTTAATATACTGTGATGATGGTTCCACATTTTTCAAACAAATCTTTTACCTTGAGAAGATCTATTTCTTTGATGCAGTCAGCACGTGCTTTGGCATCCATCAAATCAAATATCTAGGCACAAGAGAGAGAAGATTTTTATTAAGTGATAAAAATAAAGCAAATTGTCGTTATTTCATAGCATCCATAGAGCAACTTGAATTATGTGTTTCATGGCAAGATGTAATATTTCTAATGACCTGATGCACGAATTTAGTGCTATGGCCATTCTTTTAGCCCCCTCATAGGAAACAAGTTCATTTTAAGTACAAGTTTTCCAATTACTTAATTGCCACCTCAAACACAGAGGAATAATTCAGCACACTTCCTTATACGTGGCCCTAATCCAAATCTCAGTGTCCTAACCCATTCCTGCCACTTCAGTATCACAAACTGATTCTTACTAGTACTGAGCATATCTTTTTTTCCCCCTTAGTCTCTTGCTAGGAATCCTTCCTCTCTCATTTGCCATTACATTCTGAATTTTAAAAAAAAGCCAAATCAACCAAACAAAAAAAAAAATCATCAACTTCCTTGTGGTCTGCCTACTACATTTTGAACACATCCAGAAGAATAATAAGAAACACGCTATGAGGTTTATTGTCACAATATTTATGAGATTAAATTTTTCAGTTACAACTTTTCAATGCACATCATTTTTTTCTAGGTAGTCTCCAGGAAAACATGTTTTATGTGCTATGAAGATCAGTGGTATCTGGTTCCATCAGCTCAAAATCTCCAAAAGCTCAGCAGCTGAAAACTTCCATTTAATGTCTTGCCACCAATTCCAGCACTGAATGTCTGCAGGGAGGTCCTCTCAAACTGACTGCCTAACTGTTCACGTAAATCACACCTGCATTTACTCTCCCCGAGGAAGTTCAAACAAATCAGGAAGTTTGCCTATGGTCTGCTAAACCTCATTCTTTTAATCAACTGAAAGAAGTCTAGAAGCTTCATGCCTAGAGCACAGTCCTCACAGAGCACACACCTGCTCGCGACTAACCACTACTTCTTTTCAGATATCCAATCTGTCCTCAGAACTTGCATAAGAAAGAAGAGGCTGGAGTGGATATAAGACTCAGTTTTTGACACAAAAAAAACAAAACAACTCAAGCAGAGAAACAAAATGCCAGACTTGGAGATGGTAAGAGGAAAAGGGGGAGGAGAAAAGAAAGAAGAAATCAAAACTGCTTACTAAGAAAGAAAGGGAATAAACCATCTCACAACTACTTGTATATTAAGGCCAGGATGATGGGAAATAAACAGACTGAATTAAAAGCAGTTATTCAAGGAGGAGACTGTGGGGGACTTGAGAAAAACACAGCAGGGTAGGTCACAAGAAAGGAATGCAAACACTAAGAAAGCTATTTCAGACATAGTAGAAGAACAGAGTTAGTACTATATGTGAAATTACAAGTACTAAAAGATAAATAACTCTGATGGAAAACAAAAAACAGAGTTTACGAGATAAAGTTGGAAATTCAGTGAAGGCAATGAAATAGCCTGTATCTATTATAGATCTCAACTTTGAATGAAAAAGCATTGCTCTTTTATAATTCTGACAATAGATTAAAGTCCTCGTGTTTGGTACAGAAATTATTTTTCTAGGAAACACTTAGGAAAAATCTAAATATGAGAGGCAGCACATTAACCTGAGGAAGCACTGAGAAGGCAGGAAATTGTAATTGTCTTTCCTTATAATGTAAGAGATCAGCAAATGGAAAATTTTGTACTCTCTCTCCCAAATACAGTCAATCAAAGTGTGTATCAGGGAGCAGGGGAAAAAAGGGGGCAGGTACAGGCACACATCTTGAGCCTTCGCATTTTTGCCAAGTTCTAGATAACAGTGAGATAAGAGCATTCCTTAGAAATGATACTGAGATTCAACTCCAAGCACACTGGAACCTAATCAAAACTGGAGACAGAATTTCAGACTGAAAATTGCATACAAACTATCTACTTTGAAGATCTGGAACAATTACCAAAGCACAGTTTCAAGATTCAAACCAGAAGAGTTTCATTGTGTGACACAACAGGGCAGTTTGCACCTGTTAATGACTGTTCCAATATACCAAGAGGTAGAGTAACTTACCTATTCCAGGAATATTTTGCCTACACACCTAAGCTAACAGGTTTTGCAAGGAAACTTTTTTATAAGCTACACCTCTGACAGGGACGTAAATCAGTACCTGTCGTAGAGCAATAACACAACAACAAAAATAAAGCCCTAGACTCAGGAGTGTGAAAGATCTAGAATCAAGGCATAGGAAAGAAAGAAAATTTTGTTTGTGTATTCTGCACAGTACTTCTAATTTGTTATTAAACAGCCCTGGAGTAGACTACACCAAGCAGCTGCTCTCACTAAAGGACCGACTTAAGTTTTATAAACATGACTCTATACTTTTGCTACACTTCATACAGCAGCATGGCAAATTTGTCACAGCTACAACTACACTGAATATTTCAAACATTAACTAAAATAAAGCAACACAGGAAAAATGAGTCGAATTTGATCCTTACAAACACAAATATAAACAATCTGAAGATTTACTGTTCAGCATTCTTGCAGTTCTCCATTAGATTTTGATCCAGTTCTAACCTCAAAAGACTAGAAATAGCATTTCCCAGAAATCCAGAATTTTAGTTTCACAGACATTAACCTCCTCCAACAGTAAGATTGGTAAAAAATAAGAACAACGACAAAAAAAAATTGCTCAATCCATGGCCTCTGAAGAACCTCTGAATCATACCAGATGCAAAAAGCTTCCCAAGATTTTCATTCTGAATAGATTATCTATTTTGCCAAACTGCTGCAGTTCAGATCAGAGGCCCCAAGTGCAATAAGCCATGTCAGCTCAGACAAGGAGGTTACTGTCAACACAACGAGAAAACCTCCACGCTTCCTCACCAGATGACTCAACACTGAAGAACGTCTTAGTCTGAAAAATGGAAGCTACAATGAAAGACTTCAAGAGGATCCTTTCAAGTGCATGTCAGAACTGCCCAGGGCAGCCGGCAGTGCTCAGAAGGCTCGTTCAGCAGGAGGAGCTGTCCTTGCCTGCAGTTCACTGCAGACTGACCATTGACGTAACACTAAAAAGCGATGTCAGTGCTCCCCTCACAACTGTAACAGTTCATACTTTTGCAAGCGGACTAATTCCATCTTCAGCTTCTATTACTCAGCAAGCCAAGGTGAAAGGTCAGCTTATGCTCCCCTCCCTCCAGCATGAGCGCTGCACACAGATCTCTCACATGCACACGGTTTGCAGCCTTGTAGAGACAGCACCACCATTGCCTTCATCAGGTCACAGGCCTCATTCCACCCCACACACACTGCCCAAGGACTTCCAACCTTTTGTCCGGCCTTCTCTTGGACTGCACTCCCATTTTGAGCTTGGCTTTAGCTGTAGCAGCACATGCCTTGCAGTTGAGTGACTTAACCATAACAAAGTCACTGCAGTCAAATGACTTGTGCCTAATCTGGGTTTAGATTCAGCTCATCTCTGTGGCCTTAAGGCATTTATAGCAGATACAAGAGAAGCCTAACAAAACCAGAGTGATTCTTGGATAAGCTTGAGTGATAAGCTTTCAGATCAACACAAAGCATTAGCAACTGACTGCTTGAAAGCATCCGGGAAAATCTCAGGTACAGACACTACCAGTGCCCTACTTCCAGCAGGGCTCAGATTGCTGATGATGCTCCATACACTGATTATTGGAAACCAGCTGCAATCAGACCACAAGCATTATCATCACTGTAATTGGCTAACAATAAAAACTGCTGCCTTTGATTAGACTGCTAGAGCATTCATTACACTAACAATAAATTCTAATTCTTGACTCCACCCATAATGCCAGGATCACAGGGTAATTCAGGTTGGAGGTATGTTTCCCTAGTCAGCACAAACCCCACTCAGCACAAACTGCACAGTGTAATACATTCTATTTCAAATTTTAATTCTTTTTCCCCAATTTCTATTTCCAAGGACTATAACAAGATCAATATTTTAAAAAGGAATTATGCTTGCCTAATGCAAAAATCTAGTAAGAAGCAAAAATACAGCAAATATATTTGTGATGGGACAGTTTTCATGAAGAGTATAATCAAAAAAAACTCGCTGTGGTAAGCACTACACCTTAGCAATTACTGTGAAATTCCTTAAAACAAGTAGGTAAATACAGCTGAAGAGCTAAAGGAGCATTTTTTAAAAGCCCTTAGCAATTTCTTTTTCCACACAGCAAGCACACTAAGTAAAATAAAAAGTATCTTTTCAGCTCTCAGTTTTTCATCTCAGCCAGCAACCAATTGCATACAAAGGGAGAGTAAAAGGACAAATACACATTGATAGTTATTACAAAATACTCCCTTCTGTGTGCTATGCAACTAAGGGATCTCTGATAACTTTGCGTTCAATCTCTTCTCTGGTACCTTCATGTGAGAGTAGATTATGATTTTTTTTTTCTTTCAGCATTCCAGAAATGTCAGTTGTAAGTACTGTCAAGAGATACAGGTATTTTTAGAATACTGGCTAAGCTACTGTAAGCTACAGAGAAGGAACTGTTCCTATGCAGATGTGTAAACTAAACAAAGAAGTTGCAACACATGAATCAAATTCCTCAGTAAAGTTCTTATATACATGCTCACACATGCTCACCCTAGAAAGCTATGGGCACTGCAAGAAGGTTTAGAAACATTTAACCACATGATGGACAACAACAGGCCTTAGCTTTTAAGTGTAGACTTAAAAGTAATCTGTGTAGACTTAAAAGTAATCTGACCAATTACCAGCTACCAACGGAACTCATCATCTGAAGTAATGTGACAAGTTGGGAATCTGCCTGATTTGCTCTGAAGTCCATCACTTTTCCGGGTTCTCCTTTCCAGTATTGAAAAGGATAAAGGAATTTCTAACCTTATCATTTAAGTAACTATGTAACCTATTTCTGTTCCATTTGAAATTCTGAAAAAATAAAATACCAAAAAGCATTTCCAAAGCAAAACACAAGCAGGACTGCTGTAACATCAACCTTCAGAGAAGTAGGCAAAATAAAGACCTGAATGCACATAAATATTAAGAGATACAAGCATTAGAGTATTTTGCCACCACAGCCCTGCTGTGCTGAGACAATAGTGCTTCATAAAGTGTGAAATTACAAGTGCTTTTCTAAGATTAATTAACTGTAATTCAGGCCTGAAGTAGCAATCCACTGACAATGCACAATGAATAATGAATGCAAGTGCTAGATAAAAGGATTCATTGTCTGAATCTCTAACATGGGGCCTCCAATTTTGGAATGAAAGGGAAAGAAAGGTGGAACAATGTAAGGCAGAAATGTAATGAATTGAGAATTTTGTTGAAATATGCAGTTTTACATTTTGAGTAGCCAAGGTTTCCTTAAAAAATAGCTCATAAAGTGAACTTGTACAGCCTTGCAGTCACTGACTTAGATATGCACTTTCTGCTGTTTAAGGATGTTTTGTGAGCATTTATTCCAGTACCTTGTAATTGCTTACTTTCCCCTTGGAAGTGACTACTGGAATGCTCATCGCTCAGAGCACTGGACCGTACCCCAGGGTGTTTTGCTGCACAGGTTACATGGAGCAGCAGAAGCAGAGAGGTACTGCTGCTTCCTCAGACATCATCTTCAGGCTAGTTTGGACCTGAGACTTAACATGTGTTAAGAAACTTACCTAGAAGCTCTTCAGCTTATACTGCTATGGTCACAGTTCATAAGTGGTTGATGTTTTCTGATGTTTCTTTCACTCTAAGTGTAGTTTAGACATTAATGAAAGTGCAGTAGTGAAGATCTGCTTTTTACTTGTTTTTATTTATAATTCAACCGCACCTCAGAAATATAGTTCCCATTTCCATGGCGGAAAAAGAGAGAACCTAATTACTGTATATACCACTTTCCTAATTACATGTAGGCAAACCACACATGGGAGGATGAATCATAAATGGTAGAACAAGAAGACATGACTGAACATACTATTTTGTGTATTCTGCTTGTTAAATTACTATGAAAAAGGTCTGCAAGTTAAACAGTTCTCACTGTGCTACATATCCTAGTGAAAACCGAATCAAGAATACTACTTCTTCCTGTCATCTGGACTCTGAATTTGTAGCAGCAACTACAAATTCAGGAAGAGTGGTTTCTGTCACCATCTGCTTGTCCCTTCTCCCACAGCATCTTAGTGCCACTTGCTTCTGCTCACATTTCATTCCACAAACATACATTCTGTACGCATTAATATAACATTTATCAATATTGTACATGTTTTAGCCAAATAAAATTTTATTAGCGGAAAATAAACATTCTTCTTGGAAAGCTTCGTCAGAACTCAGAACTGGCAATCCTTTTGGAAAAAATAATGGCTAGAGATCCTGCAGCTCTGAAAGAGAGGGTAACTGAAGGATTCTAAACCACATCAGCCCCTGATGGTAGAGGCACACATGGGGAACCACTGACCAAACACACAAAGGGAACACCTAACCCAGCCAGGAAAACAAAATGGAACAGACACGACTTGCAATGCTGGAGAGGAAGGCATGTAGTAGAGAAGATGTGAGATGAGAATGGGCAGAAAATGGCAAAGCACAAAAAAGCTCAGATCTCAGCTATGTTATTTAACACAATGTAGACCATGTAGAGATACTGTCTCAGTGTGGAAAGCCGTATCCATGCACAGGTCTGAAATGGAGAGAATAAAGCCCCTCTCTCACAACAGAAAGAAGTATTCCTCCTGTTTTGTCCATGCTGAGCTTTCATTAAAAAGGCACCAGAAAAAAAGGTAGTATTTTAATTTGAATAAAACACGACTGAAATTAAAAGGAAAAAGCACCATCATAGAGCTTCTCTGAAAAGCAATCACTTCTCACCAGAAGACACCTGTGAAAACAAATTTTGTAGTGAAATTAAGTACTGTGACTATATTTACCAAAAATATTTCTAGGGAATCTTAAGAAAGGTAACCTAAGCACAGTAACAATTAAGATGGTCTTCTGTCCAAAAGGAACAGCTTTAGATGACATCTATGCAAGCTGCAACAGCTGTGCCAAACACTCACTGCTGCCATGAGCCTTTTGAGCACTGGGTAATACGTCATTATACAATTAGGAATTTTTTACCCTTACAGGTTAATCAAGTCTCACTTTCCATTCAGATAATAAGTCTCCTACATACATCCAGCCTCCACAGCAAAAGTGACTTTACCCATCACAGAACACAGCCACTCCTGATGTGTACTAGGTAGTAACTTGCAATGGAAAACCAACAACCTATGTTGGACCCTTTAAGACAACCGGAACCCTATCAGGATAAAGCCATCTGGAGAAACCATAACTCTTTGACACTATTTCCTACCAACAACCAAGTATATTCTCAGAAATTTATTAAAGAATTAACTAAAAATTAAACAAGGAAGCTTTTCTGCTAGAGAAATCATCACCTGTAAACAGACAGCATGATGTTGTCTTCATGCATTGAAAAAATCTTTTGTCAAACTGTGAAGTCTCATGTGAGAATACAGCTATACATACTGACTTCTGAAATACTGTTAGGAGTACACATTCTAAAATGCCTCTGTATTCTTAATGCGAGCACCATTATAAAAATTTCATAGTTGGACTTTATGACTTTCTTCAAGTACCCAGGCATTTCACATCCACCCTAATTGACATGCATTTCAAGTCACATTTGACCTTTTTGGTTTCTCACACACTGCAAATGAAGGCAGAATTAGCCTAATGTTTTAAGACTGTTGATCAAGGTTCTTAGAATATATTTCAGCTTTTGAAGTAGTATATATCTGGCAGTTCTCCCAGAAGGGGGAACCAAGTCTCCTTTTTTATGACTGCCAGGACTTGCCCAGCCTCCTGGTGCACAGGAAATTAGAGAAATGGAACAGCAAGTCAAGATATGACAGAGAAATTTACAGTGCATGCATTAGCCCAGCAAAAATAAAATTATCACAATGCAGAAACACTAGAAAAGAATCTACAAAATCTTACACATGTTCTTTTGCAGTCTATAAAGGTAAAAATACTCCTTCAGAACTGATGACAGATACTCCTCCAAGTATTACGTTAAACCTACCTCAAGATCTGAACTGAAATGAGAGTTTTAGTTTTGATTTCAAAACTAAACACACTGTCAGAGAACTTTCAAAATAAATTCAGTAGAGAATCTGCTTGAGTAATGGTCTTACAACAAACATCTCTGAGCAGCTCCAAACAAAAAGAGAGAATGGAAATGATACTGGATACAGGCGTAGCTCAAGCTGTCTTTTGCCTGTGTGACAATGAAAATGTTCCAGCTTGAAAAGCACTTTTCATTTAAACTGTCACTTTTGATCTAAACATTTTAAAAATTGCTAACTGCTAAGACAAAATATCTGAACAAATAATCAGTCCATTTCTTATGCTAAAATTTACAAGGACCAGGCTTAATGTTACTTGGCCACAGTAAATCAGCTTGCTGCTCTTGTCCCATCTTCTGTGACAGAACTGCCACTTCACCAGTGGTTAAACTGTGAATCTTGGAAATATTCAGAGTCCTCAGGAAAATATTTTGACCAATGCAATTCTCTTAGATCCACAGTGCACTCTCATTTAATTACCATATAGGGTCCTACAACAGATTTATTATTCATGAAGATGATAATATGAACTGAGTTATATCCTGAAATCCGAAGGAAACACTGAGCTATGGATTCAAGCACAATTTTGCTTTATATTTGTCTCGGTTAGTTTTTAGTCTTTTGAAACAGTAATTCCTTTTCACTGTTACAAGTTTGATTACGTATACATTGTATTTGATTTATGCACTTTTGAAGCATAGTTACTTAACTGAAAAATTACAGGTTTTTATTTAATAATAAATGCATGGATTTGCATAATATATTTTCACATTAGACAGCACTAAATATTTATATTACTTATAGATTCCAAGCTTTGGTTAGGACTGTTCTTATACAGCTAATTTACATGGATTATCTTTTCCCAGCAACTCTGGACTTCACTTTCAAAACATTAGTTTGTGGAATACTATACAAAGTCATGTCATAAATTTCCAAAGTTCTTTACCTCCTACTATCTGTAAGTATTTCAAAATTCATTAAAATCACATCTAAATGACACACGCCTTCCAAATTTAACTGTATCAAATCCTCTTAATAATTACAAAAAAAAAATTCATCCTTACCTGAACCTTCTTCAGAGCCACTGGTACCCCATCCAAGAGGCAGGTTGCTCTGTAAACTTCACTGAACTGCCCACGGCCAATCTTCTTCTCTATTCGGAAATTGGCAAGTGTATTATAGCCCATGTCGGGTCGCAAGGCTTTCTAGAATCAAAAGATATTGGAAAAAAGTTTGCATTGAAGTCAATAAGACTAATCCCACCAGTGTAAAGACATAGTTGAAAGAATATGGTTTAAATTATTAAAAGTGCCTCATTCCAATGCATTAAAACCAAAACTGTCCCAGACTAATCACAAGATGTTCTAAAGAAAGTATCCATAATACCATTTGTGGAGTGAGAATTTAAAATTATAAGTTCTCGAAATGTATTTAAAATGTTTTCAGCTTATCAGGAGTCTGAGACTTAGGAGATAAGAAATGCCATCAGGCTTTAATAAGGCACATTTTCTTTATATGTTTTAGCTCCCTCCATCCAAAAAAACCCCCAAACCACAAGAAAAACCACCCACACCCACAACAACCATCCACTTAACAAAAAGAGAGACACTAAAAGTAATAAAGGATCAGCTTTTATGACAGAATTTTAACGCAAATATTTCAGTATTTTAATGTTCCTCATTCAGTAGATATGCAATATATTTTTATATGTCTTTCTATTGCTCCAGAAATCAAAATATGAGAACTCTCTCGTTTTGACAAAAGTGGTGCAGCATTAATGCTCCAATGCATCCCAAAGCGCAGGATCTGGCTTAATGAGACAGTTACAGGGCTTTTAGGGAAAACGTCTAAAACTACACTTCAAGATTTTAAATTCTCTACACAGAGCTGCAAGATAGAGACTCTCTAAATAGGCTATATTTAAGAAGTATTGTGTACTTCCCATTTGAATTGGGAGTTGCAGCCTCTGCACAGCAACTTGACAAATATTAGGGTGAACTACTAAGGCAGTGTGACAACCGCATGCTGAGAGCAAAGTCTCACTAATGTGTTTTGGCATGCAGGTTTGTAATCACACATTTACATATGCAATGACCTACATTTGCATGTCAGATCACACACTGTCTTGCTTTATTAAGACCGGGCACCTCCCTGTGCTTGGCGGCCAGAGTGGCGAGAGAGGGCCAGAGGGCGGTGTTTTTTGGCAGTTGAGGGATGAACTGCCACCAAGGATTAGGCTGATATGGCCTGAGCATTAGACACTTCATTAGAGGTAATCTGTTTAACAGTGGGCAGTGTATGTAAACTTCACAGCCCATTTGCGGCACCTTTTCCCCCCCATGGCCTTTCTTCAAAGGGCAGCGTGGCTGAGTGACAGCTTGTCTCATCTGCTCCCTTGTCCTGTCATACAATTTAGATGTGGAGAGCTGACATGAGAAGCAACATAGCTGCACATCTCCAACTACCACTGGGTCTCCCCTCGCCACAACGCAATTTGTAGAGAATAAGCTTGTGCAGGATAAAGATTTCCTTCGGTCTGAAACCATAACAGAACAGATTATATACACTTCACCAATGATCACATTACAGTGTATTCACCGAGTGAATCAGTGAGCACTCAGAATACTGCAGTTTCCATGGAAGAGATATCCATCTGACAACATTAACATAACCAACGAGTTGTTTCCTCTTTTCAGATTCATTTTATAAACTTTTGGCCAGGAAATGTATTAAAACTGCAAGAATATTATTCTTTTTCCTGCTCTGAATACACTTGGGTAAATTTCAGTTCTCAGTCATATATTCAGTTGTAATCCTGCACACAGAGGAAATGTGAGGTGAGGAAAGATCAGTTTAAACACTCCTACTAGAGAGAAGACAAACACCATGATATACTAATACTGACATATTAATTCATTATTGATCTGTTAATTAATCATGGTATTAAGAGCTCGTTTATAAGACAAGCAAATGAAGGCAATCTTCAAAGGAAACCATTATACTCATTTTCAGACTGGTTTCAGTTTCAGAAAAGAGCTGATATACAATTTAGCAGAGAACTACCAGGAAAGGCAAGCATCCAATGGCAAGAGGCCACAGTCCTTAGTACAAGGCATTCACAGTTAACTTCTGACTACACCACACAGGTGCTCTCACTTTAGCCAGAGCTCTCAAAAGGTGTTCTACTTTAGCCTTTTTCCAAAACTTTTTTTGCATACAGTTCCCATCATCTAAAGCATCAAAAGCCCCAGAAAGTATCAATGAACTTCAGTACTGACCTAAGGAGGCACATAAAAAGACAACATCTGTTAAGAGAATGCTGAAGAAACCAACAAAGTCTTTATTCACCAAAACACTCTATCTTACAATCAAGGAGCCCAGCCCACACTCTCTTCTGGTATCATCAAGCCTTCCCAGGAGGTCCTTGTTCTTATTGCAACCTGCTCTGTATTGCTGCATCACCATATGTCAGTACACTATACTGACTCAAAAACTGATCTGGATTGTTAAAATAAAACTGAAAAACCAACTTGTTCATTTTTCAATTATTCACAGATTCAGTTCAAAAATACAGCCAAACAAATAGTTGAATTGCAGCAATTTAGAGATTCTAGAAAACACTTATGAGTGGAGGTTATGAGACAGGTTTTTCCACTGAAGAAATCATACTACACACTTTTTATACATGTTTAACCAGGTTTCTTCTGTGAGGATTCCTACCCTATAAAACTAAGCTCTCTCAGGTTGAGAGATTACATTAAGCAGATTAATAGTCAGCTCCAAATTGAGAAACAGCAGCAGAAAAATTATTTTCTTGAAGAAGTTACCAGTGAAATCCCAAAGGAAACTACATTGTTCCATACGTACAATGCTTCAACAAAGTTTCTTTAGAATCCAAACTTATCCAAATAACCAGCTCAAAATGCGACTGCAAAGCCTTGCAGAAGATTTCCCTACATTTCCAACCTGGTACTGAGTACTAGCATGCCAAGGCTACCAATCCTACCCTTAATGGGAAATACCACCCTGAAGACCGTGAATCATTGTTTTTAAATTAGTTATTACCACACAGGAAAAAGACTTAAAAAATACCACTGAAAAACTTCAAAGCAAGCTACACATTTCTAGGAAAAGGATTTGAATGAAACAGAAAACAAAATATTTCACTTCTTCGGTCTATTGTGTGCACTCTGAATACCCACAGAGCTCTGAGCCCTCATTTTTAGGGGAATACAATCAAATTAGTCAACAGAGAGGAGAACAGCAATGCTGAGCAAGAACATGCAATGTCTTTTGTATAAGAAGAAACAAACTATTGTTCTTCAGCTTCTGGAGAAACAAAACAAAAAAAAAATTCTGCTCTTGTAAAAATTCTATAACTTAGAAGTCTAATGCCTCAGATTTTTTATCTTCTTCTGTCATCTTTTTCACAATATGCAAGAGATTTGGGAGTATTTCTGCACCTGCACTTCTGAAACGTCTTTGGAAGTAATGAAGTACAGTGTTTTAACTTTGCAGATAATAGACTAGGCCAGGGCTTTCAGGCACTTAATTCCAAACAGAAAATGAGCTTCTATTGGCACAAAGTCTAGTTGGAGGCCAGCAGCTAGCAGCGTACCTCGGAGGTGCATACTGGGTCCAATCCTGCTTAACATCGTCATTCATGATCCAGATGATGGGGCAAAGAGCACTCTCAGCAAGTTCACTGGGGACACAAACACGGGAGGAATGGCTGATGTGCCAGAGGGTCATGATGCCATCCCAGGGGACCTCAGCAGGCTGGAGAAATGGGCTGACAGGACCCTCACGCAGTTCAACACAGGGAAGTGTAAAGCCCTGCACCTGGGCAGCAATAACCTCGTGCACCAGTACACACTGGCACACAATTACAATTAACTTCAGGATCACCAGAACAGTCTATCTGGTTACAGTTTCATTATTACAACAAGAAATAAAATTCTCTTCCTCTATTTGAGAAATGATAGCATCCACTCTTAAATAAATTTAAAAAAAAAAAGATATATGTACCTGTGGCTGAAATGGTGGAGCAGTAGGCCCCTGCATGCCTTGTGATTGTTCATCCATTCTGTAACGTACAAGTGTTCCTTATGTCCTGAAAAGAAAAATACAGTCATTACACTGTAATTCAATCTGTATTTATGATTGATGAAAATCAGCAGAATAACAAAGAAATCCATCTTCTCATTTGTATGCTTGAGTTTATGAACATTTAACTATTCCAGCCCTGCACTGTTTGGGAAAGGAGGTTTTTTTATGTTTAGCTATTCTATAAAATTTAATAAATCACTGTACACATTTGAACTTATTATTAAAAAATGTGATTTAAAACTACTTGCACCAGACAAGCGGCTCTGTCTAATAAAAGCTGTATCATCCCATTATTCTTCAGTGTCACCAACTGCTTGTTTAACTTCACAGATACCTGCTGGTCAGTACCTTGGACCTACCGACAGCACAGGAAATAGCAGATCAGCAGAAGACTTAAAACTGCAGCGCACGTACTGCTTACATTGCAAAATCTGTAGATTTTAGGAAGTATGCAAGAGTAGCTGCACCTAAATAGAAAAAAGCTAACCAGGTACACTCATTACATTCTGACAAGCTAGTTAAAAGGCCTTTGAAATACCATATTAGAAGCACAGCCTCTATTCTCAACCACGAACTTCTCATTTCCCATCAGTAAGCTGGAAGGAAAGACGCCTGCCAAGTTCCCAAGGCTTTGACCAATCATAAGCATTGTAAAACGCACTGAATCATTACTAGGAAGAACAGGAGAGACAAAAACACAAATACTCAGGAGGCTTTTTTTTCCTCAACTAAGTGAATCCTTTCTCAGGCTATTCAACACTGCTGAGGGGAGCAGGTGCAGTACCAGTGTTACTGGTGCCTACAGGGGCCACCTCTGTGCAGATGAAGACAACAAAGTTCCCTGGTAGCTTCAAATGCAAACAAGGAAATAAACTTCCATACAAATAAGAGGCAAGCCCTGAACAACTTTTTCATCACACCAACATGAAGTATTTCTGCCTATTACCTGGTCAAACCTGTCAAGATCTTTGGAGGAACAAGAGTCATGTGTCTGACAGGGATATTATTCTTTCTTTTCAATTTATTATTTATTTTCTTATTTCCTGCTCCAAATCCTGAATGTTCTAGAGCTAGTTAGACATAAAACACTTTTTATGATACCTCCTAACATTTAACATTAGGAAATTTCCTATGACAAATTTATTCTGCTAAACCTATGTACTTCTGAATACAAAGCTATTTACATTCCACAAATCTTTGTTTAGAGTGAGTACATAAAGTTTTTTCAAATCACATTTAAAGTTCAGCATGAAAGCACAGAATCTATTAGCTGTTAAAACGCATGCAAATCTTCCCAGTAATGTCTATAGAGTATTAAAAGGGTTAGAAACAACAGAAAGCAGAAAACCTTAGAAAGGCTTAATTGCAAAATATTTAAGAAACTAAGGAACAGCTCGTGCTCACAGCACTGTTGTTGTTCTTGCAGTATTGTTGTGATAACATTACTAATAGACAAAATAATCACAAAGCAGCTTTGCAAAGTTTCTCCATGTGTACACAGTTTCCACCTGGGGTACTAAGCAGTGGATTGGATATACAAACAAATCGTTAGTGATCCGCTCTCCCTGGCCCATTTAAAGCAGTCATCCCCCGCCATCCCAGTGCCATTAGCTATTCCTAAAACCAAACCACAGCCACCCTCCAGAGCAACTAAAGGTCCCTTTAGGCTTTGCCTTCCCACTCATCATACTCCTGTATGAAGCAAACAGGCAGCAACTTCCTGTTGTAATGTATTAACTGCAACTAGTCCACAGAAAAAAAGATCCAGAAAAAAAGCAGTTTCAGGTAGGTCAAAATAAAATAAATAATTTTTAAAAAAATCAATTATCAAACCACAGTGAGAGGCAGAAAAAAGGAAGCAGGAATTGCCAAGACTTCTAAGACTGTCAGAGGGATCATGCTGAGAAAGGGTGAATCAGCTGGCAGAGACAGTGCACACCACTGACCAGGCAATCTTTCAGCCAGCACTAGAACACGAACACTAACACTTCTGGCAAGTTCTAAAGCATCTCCCATACAACCTCCCCTCCAAGGCAAGAAATCATAACACAGCAGCACTGAAAATTAAACTGTTGTCACAAAGCTTCATCTAAATTCTCCGGGTAGATTCACAGGGGTTTACCCAGTTGCAACAAATTCTGGGGAAGGAATAAGGAATCTTCTGCTAGTTTCTTGTTTGTAGAGATCTTTCTATCACTGCTAAAAAGGCAATAATTCTTTTCTGAAGTGCTATTTTGAAGAGTCTTTATAAGAATTCTAATCTTTTCAATAGCATCGATATTTCTACTGAAGGTTTTGTGTGTGTTTTACTAATATGTTTAAGTATTGAAAATCTTGACCATGTAATGCACCAAAAGATAATTCCTATGGGTCAGACACTTGTTTCAAAATGCCCAGGGAAAAGAAGTAAACACAAAACTCTTTATCCCCTATTGCAAATATATACCCAAGATTAATGAAATCTAGGCTGAAATGTTTAGATGATGTATGTTGACTCAGGAATTATACAAACTGTTCATCTTGTCTGAGTGGTCAGGGACACATCAGTCCAAGTGTTTGGGACTTGGTCTCTTCCCTTTTTGAATCTGGGAAAAGAGTAGAAATGGGAGAAGTCATATTTTCACTGCCAGTGGCTCTACCTTCTGTGGCTTGGTTTTACAATAAAAAACAAGCAGACCAAAGAGGTTACACATTCTACCATACAAAGCATGGAAGATTAACTTGTGGATCTGTTGTTACTTTTGCAGAAAGACAAAAGATCAGTACCTTATGCCCATATACAGAAGTTACTCTATTTTTTTAATTTGCTTTTGTCTTTGAAGACTGCAATGATAGATTCACATTTCAGAGAAATCTGGCATTTTGACCATACAAAATCCCAAGGATGCAAAGAGATGGCAAGGATGCAAAGTCAATCTTGTACTGTTTGTCATCATAAGCAAAAACTGGATTTTATTGCCTGAAGACTTTTCATTGTGAGACATGTCTTTCACCTTGATATTAACACCAGAGGTCAAAACATAATGGTATAATATTGATCATCTTTAAACTTGAACTGAGGCAGTAATTGTTACTCTTACAATGAGCGTTTTCAAGTGTTAATTTACAGTGAAAAGACACTAAAAATATTGCAAAGAGTCCATGCTTGTTTAAAATTGAAATGCAATCACAAAACACATCTATTTGTGACGTGTCTGTCACCTCTTCAAACAAGTAATACAAAGGCCTTCTGCAAATTCATTACCACATTATATAAGGTTCATGAAAACAGACAACAGAGGAGGTGAGGGGAGAGTCAACTACACCAGCACCACCCTCCAAAACCTCCAAGGGGCCAAATGTAACTCATGTTTCTAAACGCTCTCAAACCAACCACGTAGAGGGAAAGGACTCCTTGCCTACAGAACACCACTTGCAGAGAAAGGAACAGTGAAATGCTTCCTGAATCATTTCTCTTGCAAACATTATGTTCACCATTTTGAAGATGAAAATCATCTGGATTCAGAGAGCCTGCATACAGCAGTGATCACAGGACACAACCATATATGCTAAATCTTATACTCAGGTTATGGCTGCTAACACTTTACAGGTAGGAGATGACTTCTGGTTAATGACTAATATTTCAAATCTTTGACTTTTTCAGTTGATTGAAGCAGTAGGTGGCACCTACACACAAAGGATGCAGGAGGAAGTACCTGGGGATACAGACAACACAACTAATTTTTCATTTGAAATTCCAACTGCACTGGAACTCCTCCAATTGACACTATTTACTCCACAAGACAGCAAAAGGCAGCCAAGTCCTCACCAGTAAGACTATCAAACTGCAACTGCCTGAACTGGGAGTAACACCCTTTCCTTCCTTCACAAACACGCCTCTCTGTCCCTATTCACTTCCTCAGTGGCCACCTGTCAACACTCTCAGAGACCTGCCCACACATCTGAAGATTGTGCATACATATAAAGCAACCCAAAAGGCAAGGGCGCGCTCCTATACCCCAAGCTCACATCCCAGAATCCGCACTCAGCTTTCCAGGTGCCTTTTCCAGCAGCCTGCTAGAGCAGAGGTGGGACTGCCCATGACTGAGTCAGAGCAGAGGACACACTCCTGAACAGGAGCCAGAGCTCATCACTTTCAGATCACTGGAATGCATTTTAAAATAACACTTTAAAAAGAAAGATACCTAGGAAAAATTTGAAATCCTTGTGACTTAAGTCTAGCAACTAAGTCTTCATGAATCTGATCAAATTACTTCAGGAGAAAAAGCTTAAATGCACTGCCTAATCACGTGAAACATTTTTTTTTAAGCACTAGTTTCACAGCTTCAAGTCCTTAAAATATTCACTACGAAATACATTTCATGGTATTAAGGCAAAAAATGGTATTGCTTTAACAGATAGCAGATTTTACAACAACAAAAAATACAATGTTTTCCCATAGAAAACGTCATTAATAGTCTCAGTGATACACGGTTTCCATTAGCTACACACTATGCACTTGGTTATCAATTTTGCATCTTAAGTGAGAACATATAATAATCAATGTCAAAGCAACAACAGCTATACTTTGAAAAAAAAGCAAAAGCAGCAGCTACTTAACAGAATATTCAGTGTTACAATTCTGCTCAGAATCTGAGAATCTCAGTCTTCTTTCTTTCTGCAAAATATAGATGTAACTACTCCATATAATTGCTAACACAGAGAAATATGAAGTTACACCATTTCACAATGCGCTGATCAGGCACACAGTCAATTTAGCTGCTGTTCACAAACGAAGGAATGTACTATGTTTACTTCTGGATTACACCATCAATTAAAGGCAGGTATTTTTAGTTTTTACTATAGCTATTATTTGAGTTAGGTTAGAGCCAAGGCTCTCCAGAAACAATTATCCATTTAATACCCTACACACCCTATTTTTGGATTCAAGTTAGATTCTTCAGTATCTAACTTGGATTTAAAATGGCAAGGTTTATATAACTAAACCTTTCAACTATCTTTGCTAGCTAAATTCAAAGATAAGGATCATTGTCAGCTGAGGGGAAAAAGAAACCAAACCCATATATTAATACTAGTTTGCATATAAGCATACAGGCTAAAGAAATATTCCCATTTGCTTATATCACGTGTTGACTCTCAGCTACCCAAAAGCACAATTTAAATGTAGGCAGAATATTCAAATAGTCACCCTGCTTGAACCTGAAAAAAGCCCTGTGCTCTGGAAACAAGGGTTTAGATTTCCAAATGCCTTACTAAATATCCCAAACACAATCAGGCAGCCCACCACACCACTGTTAATCCCAGCAGTGTGTGCCAGGGAGCCCGAGCGTGCCAGTCCGATTCCACCACTGCTCTCTGTAGCTGGAGAGTCACAGTGACATAACCCCTCAGCTCTGAGACCAAAGCCACATACCTCGTGGGAGGAGACAAACTTCAGACCCAGAAATGACACCCCGGCCCTTCAGCTTGATGTGAGCAGGTTAAAAAACAGCCACAGTACTAGTTTATATACCGGACTGTCTTAAGTAATTTCTTAATCTCTTTAAGGCAAAAGCTTGGCCACTGGAGGGAATTGGCTTGCTGGTCAAACCCAGCCCTTACACTTTGTAAGGTCACCAACACTGATCAACACTTCAGCACCCACTCAACACTGGGTGTAGCTGCAAATTATAATGTTTATATTTACATGTATTTTTATATGCAAGCGTTAGTAACTCAAAATGTATGTAAACTGACATCCAGTTGAACTCTGCCAAGACTAACTGGCAAGAGATAAAGCAAACTCAGTACTGGAAGACCATGTTAATCACTATCACAATAAAAAGTCATTTATCCTTATTAGGATACTGATATATACATATATTATATCTATGCATAGTAATATATATATGCAGACATACACATGTCAGCACATTCTTACAGACTACGCATCTATACCTAACTGTGTGTACACACAATATTTCATTTTTACCACTACTGGCTAATAGCAAATATTTGCTTCACACTGTCCAGGAAAAAAAAAAAAAGGTATTCTCAAGTGTGGAAAATATACACTCATTTGTCAAATTCTCTGCAGAAGCATCCACAACAGAGGAAAGTTGTATATGCAACTATTAAAGTGCTGAAAGTGATCGAACATCAATCTGTATACATCTATATTCAAGTAGGATTAGCCTTAATTTTAGAACTTAGCTTTAATTTTAGAAACAGTTCCTAAAAGCCACAAGATGACAAGACATTCCTCCCCCCTGCAGAGACAGCCTTGAATCTGGACAATACAAATCCCCAGCCCTTGTAAATCCACAAGTAGATATCAGCTAACTAAATGGAAATACTGCATTTTCCAGCAAATTTATGTCCAAATTCCCCACTCATGGGCAGTTCAGTCAAACCACTCAAAGAACACACAGAGAGTTAAGCTGGGGTAAAAGTTGGTTTCAGCAAGAACAGAAGTAGCCATACACAAATCATCCATTTCCAAAAAAGTAAAAGAATACACTAACAGTTCATATGCAATTTTCTCATCAATTTGGCCCAACTTATCAGGTGTATTTCCACTCCAACCCTGAAAACACATATGGCAGTCACTGTCTTTCCCCAACTACTAAGAGTTCACTCAGTGCTGTCTGACTAGAAGATTAAAATCCAAGCTCTCCCACTTCACAAGTCTGCTGCCCTTCCTCTTCACTCATTTGCACCATTTAAGACGTTACACTTTGTTTACTTCTCCCTCTCTATTTCAATTATGTCACTCAAGTAGACTGCTTATTTTGCAAGGTGCTCCCGAAGGGTTGTACATGCACTGACTTGCCCCTTATCGAACCATTTGTTTGTTATTTCATGTGAACCGAAGAAGAAACACAACTGAAACTGCTTGAGCAGCAGCCTTCTGCATTTTCATTTAACGTCAATTCACCTGAAAGAAATTTGATAACCCATTTCTTCATACTGAATAGCCACTTACAAGGGACATAGGTGGATCGTGACCACGCCACAGTGAAAAGTTTTACAGGGAATGAAGTATTGTATCTAACTATGATACTATGAGGAAAGCAAATCCTCAGCCCACATCACACTCTGCTGTGCTCCTGCCTCTGGAAGAATTAAGTTCTAAGATGGCATGAACTGATTACATGCTGCTGCTGCTTCCCCTGCCTTCAGCCATGACTCCCAGACCCTCCTTCCAGTGAGGCTCCTGTGGCTACCCAGAGTCCTGGTAAGAGAACTGAAACAAGCTGAAAACTAACCTTCACCGAAAGTCACTTTTTCCCAGTTAATTTCCCCGAACTGTACCATTGTAGAGACAAGAAAGGCAAAAGACAAAGGGGAGGACATAGTTGGGACTAGAACAGCCCTAACTTGGATCAGTTCAATCTATTGCCAAACTATATCTTTAACATGAAATTATACAAGTCAATCTAATAGCTCAGTAACAC